AAAGGAATGGTTTATTAATACCTAAAACAATTTGGTTATATCTCAAAGACCTTATGTGGACCGGTGAAAGCCGATTCTAAAAATTCCAGATTGCATGATCCCGTCTACATATCATTCTTGACGGAGCAAATCTATGGAAATCAAAACCAAATTAGTGGTTGCCAGGCGATCAGAACGGAGTTATGGAGGCGGCAGAGAGTTGATGTCATCAAGGCGTGACTGTTAACAGATAATATAGCAAGCTGGGAGGTGCGCGTCTTTATTTATTCCCTGCATTCAAGAAAGCAGAGGCAAGTGGATGTCTGTAAGTGTGAGGTCAGTCTGTCTACAGAGTGAGTTCCAGGGCTACGCAGAGAAACCCTGTCTCAAGGATAACATGGCAGATCTTTCTAGTAATGGAACTATTGTTTACTTTTACTGTGGTTATGGAGATTAAATCTTCACATTGCTAACACTATATAACTAAATAAATATGTAAGGCTAAGAAAATCGTACTAAAATTGTGGAGTTGGAGTAACATGCACTTTTTTGTTGTGGTATGCTACACTTCAGGAAAGAGACTGATTATGTAAGGGCTGGAGAGATGGCTCAGTGGTTAAGAGCAGTCACAACTCTAACAGAGGACTGGAGTTCAGTTCCCAGCACCAGCATCAGATGGCTCATACACACCCACAACTCCAGTTCCAAGGGAGCTGCCGCCCTCTTTTGGCCTGTATGGGAACCTGCATACACACTGCATGAACATATGCATACAGATAAATTAATCTTTTCTCAAAAAAAGAGACAGAGAAGGGCTGGAGAAATGGCTTAATGATAAAGAGCACTGGCTACTCTCCCTGAGTTTCCAGGTGATATTCCCAGTACTTTCATGGAAGTTCACAACTGTAACTCCAGTCCCAGGGGATCCAATACCCATTCTGGCCTCTGTGGGCACTAGGCACCCATTGGGTAAACAAATATACATGCAGGCAAAACAAACACATAAAAACACATAAAACTTAGAAGGAAGGGGAGGGGGAGGGAGGGAAGGAAAGCCTATAGAAAAGAAATGACAAAGCTTCTTAGAAACAGTGATGGAAAGGGGTTGAGAAACACTGGAATCGGCCAACCTGTATAGGGGGAGTGAGTCCAATTTAGTAGTGATGTCACACTCCCTCAATAAATCTTAAGAGTCTCTAAAATGATGTTTGGGAGTCTTAAATCCATGTTTAATCCATTAAAATTAGCCTGTAATTCTCATTTAATTGGTTATAGGTTGGATCTGTATTTTCAAGTTAGTACAAGGAAATTCTGACCTCATAAAACAAGCTGATGAGCCGGACTCTCTCTACTCTCTGGAATAATTGCTGGAAGGTTTGACCTTTTCAGCAAATATACCTGGCCAGAGACACTGCTCATGGAAACTCTGTAGGTACTGGATCACTTCCTCTCGTGGTTACTAGAAACATAGCTCCAGGTTCCAGGACTCCTACAGCTTTATCTGTTTTCACATTTGTTAGTGTAAGGGTGTTCATTATTTCCCCGTATTGCCTTCTCAGTGTATTATTGCAATATTTGTACAGTATGATTTTGTTTGGTTGCTTGGCTGGCTGGTTGGTTTTTGATGTTGTTGTTGCTATTGTTTGTGAGTCAGGGTCTTATGTAGTCCCCTGACCTCAAACTTGCTTTGTAGCTAAAGATGAACTTAAACTTCTGATCTTCTCGCTTCTGGTTATTGGGATCACAGCCATGGTGCTGGGGAGCAAATCTAGGTCTTCATGCATACATGCTAAGCAAGCACTCTACAAACTGGGCTAAGCCCTGCCCGCCCTCCTTATTTTTTATTCTTAATGTTATTTTGTCCTCATTTCTTGACAGTTCAACATAATCAGGTTTTTCTCAAAGTGTTACTGTTTTGTTTGTTTGTTTTTAATTTTTCAAGACAAGGTTTCTCTTTGTAGCTTTGGCCACCTTGGAGCTCACTTTGTAGAACAGGCTGATCTCCAACTCGCAGAGATCGGCCTGCCTCTGCCCCCCCAAGTGCTGGGATTAAAGGCGTGCACCACCACTGCCCAGCTTAAATGTATTTTTTAAAAATTTCTCTGTCATGCCTTGGATTGGTTTATTTGTTTTATTTTGGTTGCTCTTTTTATAGATTTTACAGGTTTTTTTCTAACGTGAGAAATCCCACCTTCTCTGATAGTAATGCTTCTTTCTTGTTATTTTGAGAAAGCGCCTTAACTGTTAATTGATGGAGGAGGGTTGAACCCACTGTGGGCAGTACTATTTGCTGGGCAGGGGATCCTGGGCTGTATAAGCAAGCTAGCTAAGCATGAACCTGAGAGCCATGCAGCCAGCAGCATCCCTCTATGGTTTCTGCTTCAAGTACCTGTTCGAGGTCTCTTCCTGACTCTCTTGAGTGGTACATTGGAAGCTGAAATAAACCCTTTTGTCCCCTACTTGCTTTTGATTATTGTGTTTTATCATAGCAATAGGAAGGAAAGCAGAGCACCCTGGGTAAGATCCTATCCTGATCTTAGCCTGTATCAGTATGCTGACATGTTCATTAGAGTCCATCTCTTCCTGTTGAGAAGGTGGTAGATCACTTTTGAAAGTAATGTGTAGTTTTTCCGATAGCTAAGAGATAGTTAAGAGTTTCCCTTTGTCTTTAGTCTTACACGATTCTGAGGTCTACTTTTAGTTACTCTGATTGACATTCCTGGGGATTTCTAATCTGAAAAAGAAATTCTTTCACAAATCCTGAGAAGTTCTCACCCAGCAGCGGTTTTTCAGATACTGCCTTATTCCCATTCTCACATCCTTAGGAACCCAGATATATGGATGAGAACATCTCCCTGTCCACTGTGGGCGTTCCTTCTCAGTGTCTCCCTCTCCACCGTGGGCTCTCCTTCTCAGTGTCTCGCTGTCCACCGTGGGTGTTCCTTCTCCTCAGTGTCCCCCTGTCCACTGTGGGCGTTCCTTCTCAGTGTCTTTCACCTTATTTCTTTGCCTTTCACGCTGTCCACTCACTGTTGTATTTGAGGTAGTTTATTTTTCTCTTCTGAAGAAATCCATTTAGCTGTTTCTCATGAGTACATGTTCCTTTCTCATATTCCCGCATCTAATTTCCTTACACATACTGCACCTAGTTGCATATCCTGCTTCCTAAACCCACTGTCTGAATTCTTTGCCGGGCTGACTCTATTTGCTTAGCCTTCCAATATCTTCCTTGCCCTTGTTCATGGGAACTTGATTTTCTGTGTACTTTGTGGTTTACTACTCTTGTGTTTTTACCACCTTCTTGGGACATTCTGCCTGAGATGGCTAGCTTGCGGGCACTTTCTTCCAGAGAGGCTTAGTATTTGCCTCTCCCAGGTGTATAAAGCTACATGGGAATATTTCAACTGAAATTTAGACTGAAAGTTTTTCCAATACACACAAATGATGCATTTATCCAATTATTCTTTATCATTAAAAAATCAGGATTCAGATATTGGGGTAAGAACCTGAGAGATCAGAGAAGCAACGGATTAGCCTCCAGTGACTTCCTACCTCTTCCATTCCTTCCTCCAAAAGGGGCTGAGATCCTCTCTAAGCCCCGCCTTACTACTTCCTCAGTCCTCCAAAACCTCTATGGTTAATTTTGGTCAAGTAGTGGCTAGCTCCACCCTCTGATTCAAAACAAACTTTATTGTTACCATACAATCAAAATATCACACAACACACAAATCCCTATGTGGGACCTTACATCAGGAGATTTTTTTTTTCTCTGTCCGTTGGACCCAAATCTAAGGTAGACATTTTTCTTTGTATCTCCAACTAAAGATAAAGGTATCCCCAATGTACTCCTTTTAACCTCTGGGAATTCTCATTTAGGCATCTGATTTTTTTGTTAGTTTGTCTATCTTGGGTTGACTGAAGGTTCATTCTACTTTATCATCACATGGGCCGTAGTACCCAGACTCAGCAGGGGGTCTCCAGTTTGTTCAGCGGTCCTGGGGTATGGAAATCAGCTAAGCTTCGCTTACATTTCTAGTTTTGAGATTTCCCTTGGCCGCTTGATAGCGCCATGTTGTGTATATGTGTTAATGTTAATATACTTTACCTAAGAGCTCTTTTCTGTAGTAGTTCAAAGTCCCTGATCCTCTACCAGGGAATGGCAGTCCTACAGCAAACTTATTACAAGCTCATCTTTACTTTCTAGTTGTCTTATTTGTACACGTGTCCTTTCGCTTTCTGTTTGTCTAGGGGCTTTACAGGTGATGGTCTGGTTTTGACAGTCTCTGTTTAATACAGACTGTTAGGGAATGGTTTGTAGTACTTTGTGTGACATAACCAGCAAGTGATGATGGCCCGCCTTGTGTCAGCCAGCATTGTAGGAAGTGAGCAAAACAGACAAAAGGTCCTCCTCCCTGGCGATCTTGAATTCGAGCTGAAGACAGGGATATAGCGGGTCACATAGCAATGATGCTATAAATTAAATAAATAAGTAGAAGGCAGCCTTGCATTTGTGGAGAGAATAGCTCACAGGTGATTTGCCAAGGGATAATAGTTCCAAGGAAAAGAAGCCATGAGCCCTCAATGCAAAGATCTAGGAGTTTCATACATGCCCAAGAAAATAAGGAATGCAGATTCTCTTTTTTTCATTTCTATACTGCAACAAGTATTCCCTCTGAAATCTCGATTTTCCCTTTCTGTCTCTTACCCCAACTATAGCTTCGGTGCTTCAGCTGGGATAACTGACTGTATGATCTTGTAGGTTTCTTAATCTCTGTGCTGGTTTGCCCTCCTAATATCAATGGATCAAATGCAAAAAACATCTGTAAAGGTGCCTGATAGTGACTCTCTATGAAACCTCATTCAATCTATTTTCTCTCTCCTCATCCCAAGTGTCCCCTTGCTTTCTGTGATGGCTGCCATTGCATAGGATCTGAGTGACATCAGCCTAAGATGAGTGTGATAGACATAAGCGAAAGGTAACTATTTACATCATATCCTCTTGGATTTCCATCTCTTCTCAGCCCTCACATTGACCATGCCTTGCTGGACGTGCCCTTCCTTCGACTCGTTAAGAAGGTGCCCTTTGACCTCCGAGAGCAGCTGGACGACCCATTCTGAGGATACCAGCAGTCCTAGTGTTGCTCCTTCATACACGGACCTGCAGCTCCTCAGTACTGAGGAGCAGGCAAGCGGCCGGGCTTCCAGGACCGACTCCACGGGTAAGTCAGAGTTCCAAGCTAGAGCTCTCTGCAGATCACTTTTGGTGTACGCAGGTCCTCCTTAAGCTCCTCTTTCCCCCACAGCCAGCTTTGTCTGCAGAACATATACATGTGTGGTTGTCCGGTTCGAACGCTAGCATCCTCAGTGGTTTGTAATGGCATCGGGAAAATGGGTAAACAGACCGACTGGCTACTTGGCCAAGGATTCACGTTGGGAAACCATTTGATGGTGTGTCTCAAAGCGTTGCTCTCTGACTGTTTAGCACAAGTACCGTTTCCCTGTCAATGCATCCTCTTCCAGTTGCTGCTGAGCTGTGTCTAATATTCACGAGGCTGAATCACTCATCCTACCGCCCACACATCTTTCCTCCGCAGCAAGAGGAAGGTGAATCTCAACAGGGAGAAATTGTTAAGTGAAACAGAATGAGAATCTGGGTTCCGCCGTAGCGTCCAGACTGCTAAGGATTTTGCAGCCAAATGCCTGTAGCATTGTGCCTTCATTGAGCTATGTGACAGCCTGTAATGTCTCATGGTCTCATTTGTCAAACTTTGCAGTAGGCATAGGGTGGAAGTCTGGTCTTCACCACAGGTAGACAATGGGTCTGCCAACAAGCACTCTCACGGGCTCTTTGGGATGGTACTGGAAAGATGTATGTTCTTGATGTTCACTGCTAGCTGGTCTATGGGAGAAATTATTCTCAGACACACCCCACGGTGTCAATAGTGTTTTGTTTTCCTTCTCAAAAATATTGTGAAATTTGCCTCTAGGTCATTTTTAAAGTTTAGATACATTTTTTTTTCTCATGCAGTACGCTGGTAGATTCTACAAGCATTAACAGTGATCCTGCATAGAAAGTCAAAGGTTCAGGCAGGATTTGCCTTGGAATTTGATAAAATTGCCCACCAGCGTAGTTAACCAAAGAATTCATCTTTACCAACCATTCTTCCTTATGGCATTTTGTTTTCATAAACCTTCCTTCAGTGTGCATTAGTCTCTGTGGCTTGTGTGGCTGTTATGTGCCCCACAATTCCGTTTCTACCATGGGACAATCTCGTCGGTAGGAGGTACCTGCAGCGGCTGAGCCTGTTAGGCAGAGAGGCTGAGTGTCCCCTTCACCTCTCATTGCCTTCCACTTCCTCCCCAAGCCTTCACAGGGAGGAAGCACACACTCTTTGTACTGTTTATGGATGCTCAGATTCTACGGCTATAGGTTCAAATCCTGGTTCTGTCATATACCAGCCACACGCCTTCACCAATCCTTACACTGTCTACATGCATATATGTATATCGACATGTGTGTACAAGTATGTTCTTATTTTTTCACATCATTTTGACCAAATACCTGACAAGAAACAACTTAAGGGGGAGAAGTTTTTAGGGCTCGTGGTTTGAGAGGACATAGTCCATCCCAGTAGGCCAGGCATAATAGTAGCAGGTGGCTTCATGACGTCCAGAGCATGCGGCAGGGACGCCTCACCTGATCATGTCTTGGTGGAACAGGAAACAGACAGACAGGAAGCAGTGTCTGGTAAATTTCAAGACCTGCCCCTAGTGACCCAATTCCTCCAGCGACAAACACCACCACCTGCTGAGAACCAAGGGGATAATTCGCATGGGACTATGGGGAACATTTATTAAAACACTACAGCCCTGAGTGGGGGCGGGGCAGGGATGGGGGAGAAGAGAGACTGTGTGTCTGCGACTCTCAGGATCAGACAGAGGGTCACAGGCATGACAGGCCAAGTGTTCTGCCCTGAGCTACACCTGGCACATCTCCAGCCCTAGGACCCTTGCTATCTTTATGACTCAGTTTCATCCTCTGACAAATAGAAATATATTATAATAATAATAATAAGGTGTGTACCTTACCAGGCGAGACAGTTTATATAGAATAACCTACACGATGCCTGCTTTGGAAGAACTGATACCAGGGATAAACTGCCAAATAGTTCTCATGACTCTCCAGAGGTGCAAATTCAGCCCTTTACTAAAGATATGTGAAGGTCGAACCCAGAGCCTTTTATATGCTAGGCAAATGCTCTACCACTGAGCCACATCTGACCCCAAGTTTATAATTATATATATAATTTTTTTCTTTTGGGGGGAATGTTTCACTGTGTAGCCTTGGCTGCCCTGGAACTCACTCTGTGGACCAGGCTGGCCTCGAACTCACGGAGATCTGCCTGCCTCTGCCTCCGGAGTGGCTGGGATCAAAGGTGTGCACCACCACGCACAGCAATTATAATTTTTAACATCTTACTTTTCTCAGTGATATTGTTACAGTTCATCATCAAGAAAAACTCCTTTTCCCAGCACTTGGAAGGCAGAAGTAAGCGCATCTCTATGAGTTCGAGGCCAATCTGGTCTACAGCGAGATGCCAGAACAGCTAGGACTGTTACACAGAGAAACCCTGTCTCAAAAAAGTACCACAAAAGAGAAGAGGGGAGGAGGTGGGAAGGAGGAGAAGGAGGAGGGAAAAAAAGAAAGGAAAAACACTTCCTTCTTGGTTGGTCAGGGACCTGGAAGGAAGCAGGTGGTACACGAGGAAGGGCTGGCTTATTTGGAGAGAATTCATTGAGGAGGCAAAAGCTGAAATCATAGGAGAGCTCATTCGGTTCTCCCTGAGCAGTCAGGACAGGCGCTCTGTGTGTTGTCACCTTTGGGTGAAGATGGATGGTGGCGCTCAGGTCAGCCTGCGGGACTGTAGACTGCAGGGAGCTGAGTCGGTCTCCTCCCCGACATCTGTTCACGGGACAACATGATTTGCCGTGTAATTGTGGAGGAAAGGATTCTGTCACCAGCCCACACTTTCTTCTCAGTTTCTCACCAAGGCGATAATTAGAGGAGGAAAACAAACAAATGCCCTGGAGTTGGTAGATTACAGGAATGGGGTGCTGGGGAGTAGAGATGGTGTATTCTCTAGAGACCCCATTCCAGGGCAAATGACAGGAAAATTAGGAAGAAGCACCACCTCGAAATCACTCCCTTCTCTGGCACCCCCGTCTCCCCAAGGTCTCCTTTGCCTAGACAAGAAAGGCACACCTGTCACCTTCACCAGGCAGATAATGCTACCACGTTTACACAAAGTCGTTAAAGAGCCAGAGGATCAAGGGAATGGGAGCAAGCCTCTTCCTTTGAACTCTATTCTAAGCAGCGGAGAAAAAGCATGTAATTATGTTCGCAGTGGTTACAAGCTGATTTAAGTGGTACGCCTAGGCTCTGGTGCTTGCGTGTGCACAGGAAAGGTGTAGATTTCAGTGTGAGATTAGAACGTACAGCTCTAGACACACTAAGAATGTCGGACTGGAAGGGCTGTCAAATGGAGGCAAGAGTTATCACCATCCTAGAGTATAACAAAGGTTTATTTATTTGGGAATAAACTCACAGTAAGGATAGCAATCCACAATCCTTTGCATGCACTGGGAACTGGAACCAAATCCAGCAGAAAAAGGGGCTGCACATGCTTTTTGTCTGCACTTATGGTGCATGAGACCACGCCCAAACTGGACCAGTATCTTATTAGCTGAAGGAGTTCCCACAACAATTAACATTATCATTATTATTATTTGTTGAAATAAGAGTGGCGGGGCTGCGTCCCCAGCACCCCAGCCGCCTGCTAGCTTATGCCCGAAATAACAACATACAAACTGTATTCATTTAAAGACTGCTTGGCCCATTTCTATCTAGCCTCTTCTAGGCTAATTCTCACATATTAATTTAGTCCATTTCTAATAATGTGTGTAAGCACCCAAAGGTGCGCTTACCGGGAAGATTCTAGCCTACATCCATCCTGGGTCGGAGCTTCATCGCGTATGCCCAGGAGAGCGAAGCAGGGCCTCTGCTCCAGAGAGCAGAGCTGTCGGGTCTGTCTGAGGAGTCTTACCTCACTTCCTCTTCCTCCTGTTTACTCCTCCCACCTATGTTTTAACCTATCAGGGCAAGCAGTTTCTTTATTTAATTAACCAATGAAATCAACAGATTGATATATGACACCCCCACATCATTATTGATTTTGGAGACAGGGTTTCTCTGTGTAGCCCTAGCTATCCTGGAAGTCACTATGTAGACCAGGCTGACCTTGAACTCACAGATATCTGCCTGCCTCTGCCTCCCAAGTGCTGGGATTAAAGGCAGGAGCCACCACAGCCCAGCAATTCTGAATTATTTTATTGGCAGTTTTAAATGTAGATACTTTTTAAATAAATGACCAAATATACCTGAGAAGGATAGTGTCTGATGTGTTAAGGAGTTTTTCAGATAAACAAGATAACAAAATTGATTTCAATGAAATTACAATTTGCTCACTAAAACGTTCATACAAACCATTCAACATCCAGAAAATTCAGACATCAGAAAGAATTATAAGCTATGCTATTTTTAAATACTAAAATGTTAAACTTAATACAATATCCATAGATATAAAGTTCTGATGCCATAGTTGGTGGTACATAATCCTTTACCAATTTTTTATTATTATCTTATTTAAATAGCACCAAAGCTTTTCTGAATAAGCGTCTTTTTACTTGGACATGGAATCATAGTGATTGGTAGTGTTTTGTTTTGTTTAATTTGATGCTGGGATTGCATCCAGGAGTTCACATATGCTAAACACATGCTGTATTATACCCCAACCCATTTAGTTCCTTTTTTAAAAAGTTGTATGAAACAGCGTCTTCCTGTATAGCCCAGGCTGACTTCAGCCTCAAGGCAGTTCTCCCAGAGGCTGGGATATAGGCGTGTGCTATCATTCCTGGCTCCCATTTGGGTATCTTTGGGGTATCATAGCCATTTAAAAGTAAAAACAGACTTAAAAGTTTGGCCAAGTACAATGGTGCATGACTTTACTTCCAACATTCCAGAGGCAGAGACAGGAGGCTCACCATGAGTTAAAAGCCAGCCTGATCAGGCCTAGAGAGATGGCTCAGTGGTTAAGAGCACTGACTGCTCTTCCAGAGGACCTGGGTTCAATTCCTAGCATCCACATGGCAGCTCCCAACT